GCTGCTTCTTCAACAGATGCTGCTTCTTCAACAGATGCTGCTAATCAACAAATGCTGCCCCTTCAACAGATGCTGCCCCTTCAACAGATGCTGCCCCTTCAACAGATGCTGCCCCTTCAATAGACGCTGCACCTTTAACAGATGCTACCCACCAGGAGCAGGGGGGATGCAGGAGTTGCAGAAGGCAGCACAGGCGGTGCAGAAGGGGCTGTAGTCGCTCTGCTCCACCACACACGAGGTGTTGCTGGCAGGGCAGGACACGGTAGCGTCGTAGTTCCTGCACGCAGGGGAGAAGCGAGAGGGCAGGGGAGAGAGGCGAAATGGGTTTTGGGACGTCTCGAAAGACAGGGCTGCTGTCGCTCTGCTCCGCCACGCACGGGGTGGTGCTGGAGGGGTAACGGGGAGGGGTGAAAGGGTTTTTGGGACGTCTCGAAACACAGGGCTTCCACCACACACGAGGTGTTGCTGGCAGGGCACACCATGGTAGCATCGGGCATTGGCAGCGAGAGGGCAGGCGTGGTGGTGAGAGGGGAGGGGCGTACGTTGGTGCCATTTCCTCACAAAATGCTTTCCTGTTATTTGTCACGTCAACTAGCAACGTGAGGAGAGGTGTTGCAGCAAGAACGGCTGGCTTTTGAGAGGTGCCGCAGAGGTGTTGCAGAGGTGCCGGAGAGGTGCCGCAGAGGTGCCGCCAAGATGTGGCCTCAAACCTCTATGTCATGGCACTTGAGTTTCCAAGGAGGCGCGAGGTGGTGCTCCCAGAGTGGCTAAATTCGGACGCCTCAAAACTCACCTCAAAAGTCCGTCCGCAGGCACATGGGCTTACAAGGTGAGGAGAGGCGGTGCTCCCAGAGTGGCAGGAAGCGTGCCAGTCAGCTTGTTGCCCTCGAGCCTCCTGTGTGGGTGGGTGGGGCGAAGTCAGAAGTGAAGGTTATTTACCGAGAGGAGATGCGGGAAAGAGAAGCAGAGAAGTAAGACCGGTAATGAGGAGTATGGGGGATAAGGGTCACGGAATGGGCCTCCCACACTCACAGGGTGCCAAGGTCAGGTAGTGTTGAGTTTGCTTTTGAGAATTCTCAAAGTGGACTCAACATGACCGGTAATGAGGCAGCACTCACAGCAAGCAGCAGCACTCACAGCAAGCAGCAGCACTCACAGGGTGCCAAGGTCAGGCAGTGAACCGAGGCCTGATGGAATGGAGCCGCCCACTCCTGTGTAGTCAAGGCGCCTGGTGGGGGAAGGCAGTGGGGGTTGGTGAGGAGGGGAAGGTAGAGTAGGAGGGTCTTTTAGTCGACTCAAAAGTCGAGGCCTGATGGAATGGAGCCGCCCACGCTCGTGTAGTCAAGGCGCCTGGTGGGGGAAGGATGGAGAAAGTATGGTGAATGAGGAAGGAGCAGCACTGGCATGGTCTGAGGGTCAGGCAGTGAACTGAGGCCGGATGGAATGGAGCTGCACACGCCCGTGTAGTCAAGGCGGCTGGTGGGTGGAGATTGTTGGGAAGGGGAAGGTAGAGCAGGAGGATGGGGAAAGTAGATTAGGAGGGCCTAAAAAAACGAGGCCGGACGGAATGGAGCCGCCCACGCCTGTGTAGTCAAGGCGGCTGGTGGGGGCAAGGCAGTGGGGGAAGGAAGGGCGGGGAGGATGCGGAAAGTATGGTGAATGAGGAAGGTAGCAGGCAGCAGCACTGATACGTCCCGAGGGTCAAGCAGTGAACCGAGGCCGGATGGAATGGGATAAGTAGCGTGGGAGGATGCGGGGCGGAAACGGGAGAGGATGGGCACGGTTGGTAAACTCGGCGGCATGGCTCAAGTGAGTGAACGGGTGAGGTGATGTGAAATGAGGTGAGGTGAGGTGAAATGAGGTGAGGTGAGGTGAAATGAGGTGAGGTGAGGTGAAATGAGGTGAGGTGAAATGAGGTGAGGTGAAATGAGGTGAGGTGAAATGAGGTGAGGTGAAATGAGGTGAGGTGAAATGAGGTGAGGTGAAATGAGGTGAGTTTCTGGTTCATATTGAAGGCAGTGAGGGCTTAGAGTGAGTGGAGATTAGTGAGGGCGCTGATGGTGCTGTGCGGTGAGGTGAGGCACGGTGATGTGATGAGAGGTGCTGGTTTATCGTGAAGGCTTACAGCGAGAGGAGCTTAGCGAGGCCGGTAATGGTGCTGTAGGCTGATGGTGCGGTGCAGTGAGGTGATGAGAGGTGCTGGTTTATCATGAAGGCTTACAGTGAGAGGAGCTTAGAGAGGCCGGTGATGGTGCTGGGAATGGTGCTGCCTGTAAAGTTGTTGCCTGTGAGAATGCTGCAAGAGACAGAGCGGAGAGCATTCACACGTGAACGGTGCTAGAGAGATTTCTGATATTTCTCAGGAAAGGTGCTTGTTGCCTGTGAGAGTGCTTCAGGGAATGGGGGAAACCTCTCAGGGAGCACTCCCCCTCACACCCCACCCTTCCCTCACACGCCTCCTCCCCCCCTCACACCCCACCCTACGTGCACTTCGCGTCCCCTGCCCTGACTCACAGGTACTCCAGGTTGGGAATGGTGCCGATGCTGTCAGTGAGTGGACCAATGTTATTGTTGGTGAGATCACTGTGATGCATGGGAGGGAGAGAGAGGCGTTGGAGGGAGAGAGAGAAAGGTGTTGGAGAGAGAGGCGTTGGAGAGAGAGAGAGGCGTTGGAGGGAGAGGCGTGGGAGGGAGACCTATGGAAAGGCCAACAATGTTGGTGAGTGGACTAATGTTGGCGTGGGAGGGAGAGACGTATGGGATGGAGAGACGTATGGGAGGGAGAGAAATGGGAGTGGAGCATGGGATGCGCGCGTGAGGGCATGGGGTACAATTCATACCTATGGCAGCCAAAAGCGAACACGGGTTGCGCTTACAGATAAATAGATTGTGTAAAAAAAAATACATATATATATATATCACAACAATAGGTGAGTGTGCTTACAGCGAGGTGAGGTTCTTGAGTTTGGAGAATGACTCGGGAATGGGCCCTGTGAGGGCGTCACCCGTGGTGTCGTAGTCACTCACGCTGATGGTCCTGTGGGATGCACAGGAGAGGGGAGAGTGGGAGTGGGGGGACGATGTGCATGGCATGAGGCTCTTGGGGTAAACGCTACGGCACGTCCCTGTGAGGGCGTCAGTGCGTCACCACGAGCCCTCTCCAACATCCCATTCGTGGTGTCGCAGTCACTCACGCTGATGGTCCTGTGGACACCAAAAGGCGGGGATGTAATGGAGAGGAGGGGAGGGATATCGTGATGCCATACCCATGTATGCACTTGTGAGGGCGTCACCACTGGTGTCGTAGTCACTCACGCTGATGGTCCTGAGGACACGCAAAGGCGGAGATGTAATGGAGAGCGAGAGTGGAGCCATTGCCAAGCGCTCATGAGGCATTTCCGGTGAGAGAGGAGCGGGACGGGATGGGAGAAACTGTAAGGGGCCTGCCTAGTGTGAATCGTCATCACCGCTTTCCAGAGTGCATAGATGCCTTAATTTTGAGAAAGCGGTGCTCACAGTGATTGCAGGCTGACCATGTTGCCAAAGGAGGTCCAGATGCTACTTTTGAGGCGCCTCAAAAGTATTGTGTGGTACTGTGTGGTACGGTGTGGTGCGGTGTGGTGCGGTGTGGTGCAGTGTGGTGCGGTGTCATGCGGTGGGGAGTGGCTCACAGTTCTTGCAGGCTGGCCATGTTGCCAAAGGAGGCTGGGATGCTGCCCGACTGCACCTGCATGATTGTCCTGCACGGTCGGAAGGAGGGGAAGAAGAGTTCTGAGTTGACTCAACACACGCTGCAACCACCTTCTACTCTGTGACACGGGGCATGGGCGTGTGGTGCGGTGTGGTGCGGTGGAGAGGGGCTCACAGCTTTTGCAGGTTGGTCATGTTGCCCATGCTGGCGGGCAGGGTGCCTCTAACGGGGATGAACCCTAGATCTCTGCCATTCACTCACGCACATCAACAAACATATGCGCATACGTGCACACATACAGACACATGCACACGCGCGCGTGCGTGCGCGCACGCACACACACACACACACACACACACACACACACACACACACACACACACACACACACACACACACACGTGCATGCACGCACACGCGCCCATGCACACATATACAGGGGGGAATGAGCCTCGTGGGTCGTAAAACAAACTGAATTGCCCCGTGATGACATAAACAGTCGTTATTTGGAATCGTGTGGAAGCACAGAGGGTGGGTGCAGGGATAGTGGCTCACAGGGAGGGGAGTGGCTCACAGGGAGGGGAGTGGCTCACAGGGAGGGGAGTGGGCGGAAGGAGAGGGTACAGGGGGAGTGGCTCACAGGGAGGAGAGTCTTGTGAGGTTGGTGATGACGTCTGGAATGGTGCTGAAGCCCTGTTGGGTGATCAGGGACGTTGGGCTGGCGTGGCGCACACGGGGGGCGAGAGGGGGGGGGAGGAGGGAGAAGGAAAAGGACTTTGCTTCACAAAGGGATGACGTCTGGAATGGTGCTGAAGCCCTGTTGGGTGATCAGGGACGTTGGGCTGGCGTGGCGCACAGGGGGGGCCGGAAGGAGAGGGCGGAAGGAGAGGGGTGAGGGAGAGGGCGGAAGGATAGGGCGGGATGAGCGGGCGGAAGGAGAGGGCGGAAGGAGAGGGCGGAAGGAGAGGGCGGAGGGAGAAGGCGGAGGGGGAAGGCGCAGGGAGAAGGCGGAACGCGAGAGCAGGAGGAGGGAGGAAGGATAGAGAAAGGGATCTGGGTTCGCAAGGAACCCATGATAGCCGACAGCAGAACCAGCACCCCTCACTGTCACATCACCATCACCACCAACAGCACCACCCATCATCATCACATCACCACCACAAGCACCAGCACCAGCAGAAACCACGAGCAATACCACCACCACCACCACCACCACCACCAGCAGCAGCAGCAGCAGCAGCAGCACAGCATCACCACATCATTGTTACCAGCACCAGCAGCAGCACCCATCGGCATTGGGGCGTGCGTGATGGAGACGATGAAGCCCTCCGCGTCGCATTCGCGCACGACCATGAGCAGCAGCAGTGGTACCAGTACCCATATCATCATTATCATCTTAGCACCGTTACCACAAGCACTGGCAGGCATTGGGGCGTGCGTAATGGAGACGATAAAGCCCTCCGCGTCGCACTCGCGCACGACCATCGCCATATCACATCGCCATATCACATCGCCATATCACATCGCCATCACATCGCCATATCACATCGTCATGGCATCATCAAAACCACCAGGACCAACAGCAGCACATGGGTCACAGGCGGGCAAAGGCACGTACGTGATGGAGACGATGAAGCCCTCCGCGTCGCACTCGCGCACCACCTGGGTGTTATACGTGTCCGCGCAGTCCCCGCCGTTGACGATGTCGATTTCCCACACCTTGGACAGCTCCTTGAGAGGCGGCACTGCGGGGAAGTGGAAGGGGGAAAGGGCGGACTCGTGAAGGATTTTGCGAGTCCGCGCATCTCCCGCCGTTGATGATATCGATGGCTCACACCTACGACAGCTCCTTGAGAGGCGGCACTGCAGAGGAGAGGGAAGAGCGGAAAGGGAGGACCAATACGTGGATGGTACGAGTGCGCACAGTCCCGCCGTCGGCAATATCGATGCTCCACACCTTGGACAGCTCCTTGAGAGGCGGCACTGCAGAGGAGAGGGAAGAGGGGGAGCGAGGGGAGGAGAGAGATAGAGATAGAGGCAGAGAGTTAGGAGATGAGAGTCTCATCGGAAGAAGGCCGAGCGCAGCGCCGCGCCGCGCAGCGGAGCGGAGCGCATAGGAGTTATGGCACGGTCCCTGCGCATGGGTGAATGAATCTATGCATCACGACCTTTGATAGACTTTAAGAGGCGGGGCTGCGGAGAGGAGAGCCTGAGGTTGAGTTGGAGGGGAGGGGGGAAGGAGGGGGGACTGCGGACAGGAGGAGGAGGAGAGAGACGAAAGAAAGTTATGAGAGAGAGGGCAAGAAGGAGAAAAAAGAGAGAGGGGTCCGAGAAGAACTGGATGGGACGATTTTTTAGTCGACTCAAAAGTCGACTTATCACACAAGAAAGAGAAAGGGGAGAGAAAGGGTCCGAGAAGAGATGGATGGGATGCAGAGAGTATTGGGTCTCTCCTCCATCTGTGTTCTCTTCGCTCGCCAGAAGATCCGGGTTCGCACGGCATGGCATGCGACGCGACGCGACGCTGCGACCATCTTACGTTGCGATTTTTCGATGTACGGAATCGCGTCTGCGACGAAGTAGTGTCCGGCGCCGCGTGTGCCGCCTCCCAGCCCAGTGGGATCGGGAACGAGGAGGGCGAGGAGGAGAACTATCGTCGTGCCTCTGAGTAGTCTTTTCGGAGAGACTGCTGCGCTGTCGTTTCTCGCCATGGCTGTGACTGAGTCCTAGTAGTAGACTACAGCAAGAAAATCACTTCAAGCATATATTTTCGTTCGTTCGGATAAATTTCGCCCCCTTCTGGAATGAGACAAGTCGGTGCCACTCCAATGGCTTTTTTAGCTAATGCTTGTGCGAGTGACTGAAAGTTTGGATGTGTTGCTATGCTGGAGCGAAAGGGTTGGTAAAGATGGCTGAAGGGGGGGATATGGGAATGGATGGAAAAGGAAGCAACATGTGTCAACCATGAATGTGAAGAATGGCAGGCAATGGAGACATGCAAGGAATATGGGGAAATTGGTCCGGTGCGCTGCGGTATGCCGCTTACGTGTAGACACGAGGGTTTGCGCGCGAACGTGGTCCGGCTGGAAGAGCTGCCTTGCTGGACGCCATGACAGCGTTTTCGCTCAATGAGTATTTGCCACGGGGAGTTCAACGCTAGTCTTTGAAGCTTTAGTGCTACGATAACCGTCGATGTCGATCCAGATCGTACGCGAGACCACGAACTTGATGCGGTGTCGGAAACGGTGCACAAGCAAGAAGCCCAAGTGGAAGCATTTGCTGAGCTGGATAGCCCGAGGTCACCGCTCGCGCGGTCATCAATGTCAATCTTAGACCAAATCGCAACGACCGAATTCTGACATTCTACGACTCCCTAACGATCACAGCTTCCAGCATCAGTGCTGCCGGTTGGCGAAAGTGCTGACGGTTGTGCCCCCGTGGGCAGACGTGGCTGGTGGTCCAACAACGAAAGGTGTGTAACATCCTTGTACCGCGTTTATCTCTTTGATTGTCAAATTCAAATCCTTGTTTTAATAACCTCCAATTTTAAGAAGTCATGGCATGTAATTATTGATCATATACTTATCATAAGTTGATTTTTATGTTTTTTCTTGAATGTTACACAAGTGTGCGTCATGTTGATTATACAAAATTATGCTCGAATCCCAACATGCCCTTACGCGATTTCAGTTGTACATAATGAGTCACGTCATGTCGCATCCTTCAGATGCTTCTCCATCGACTCCTCCAATCCCACCTCCCACGTCCCGTCATCTGGCCGTCCACGTCCCGTCAAGTGTTCCGTCACTGACCGTCAGACACATCCTCCGCGCCACACATCTACATCACACTAAATCACACCAAAACACACCATACCACACGTCACCACATCACACGCCTCTACACTGGCACAGCGGCACAGCGGCACAGCACCATCCCGCCAACTATGAGTTACCCATCCGCCATAGCCACACAGCACCCATGCTTCATCCAACCTGCTTCGCAAGATTATCCATTTCACGCGCCACCTGTTAGCTTTGAATCTGCCGTTCAATAGCTCTGCGTGTCTGCAAGGGAGGATCGGGTTATCAGGAGACCTAGCGAGGAGCCTTCGCCAGCCAGCAAGGACAGGTTGCCTGAGAGGCTTTCGATTATCTTGCATCGTTAACGAAGACAGAGCCAGTCGAATTCTGCTTCCCTGGTAGCTTAAACCCGAACGGATTTCCTTCTTTGCAAGGATCTACGTAGCGGGACGCATTCTAGGATAGTTTCGATCGCGGATTCCAATCCGACGGCTTGCAACTACGCATTCCAATCCAACGGTCAGCAATGAAGCAAAAGCTTTCCGTAAAGCCTCATCCGCATCAACCACCAATCTCAGTCACCCTAACAGACGAGGCTGACGTGGCAAACGAGTGGGTCCAATCGTTCGCCGGGTGGGACGTGACGTCCGGCCACCAGCACCGGATCATGCTCGGAATGGACATCAAATGCCAGCCAATCAGATCGCGAGGCCGGGAAGGCAGCGTGGCGCTAGTCCAGCTCAGCAACAGCTCACACTGCCTGGTGCTCCAAATGCTCTACATCGATCGAATGCCGGAAGAAGTGGCGGAGCTTCTCGAGAACCCCGACGTGCCAATCGGCGGGTGCGGGATCGAGGCCGCGGCGAAGCTGCTCGAATCCGACTACGGGTTACCTTGTAACGGCCTCGTGGATCTGGGACAGCTCGCGGCGAAGATCTATCACAACAAGCGGTGGCGACAGGCAGATCTAGACGAAATGAATTACCAGCTAGTTGGGACGCCGGTGATAAAGCCGCGGCGAGTGGGACCCGCGGAGTGGTGGCGGCAGGGGCTCGGGTGGAATCAGATCCAGCTGGCGGTGCTCGACGCGTGGATGGCGTTTTCTGTATTTTCTGAGCTTGCGCTCAAGGCGACCGCGAAAGCCGCTAAGCCGTCGAACGGGAGAGCGGGTGTTTGAGAGAGGAGAGAGGCGTGGGAGTCAGGGGAGAGGAGACCGAGAGACGACGCTGACGGTGACGGTGACGTTGACGGTGACGGTGACGCTGACGGTGACGTTGACGCTGACGTTGGGCGCTGAAGTGAGGAGGCGGGTGTAGACACAGGGTGAATTGATTTTTCCATACGTTCACCTTTGTTCGCGCGTGGATGAGTGCTGTCGCGTTGCGGTTGACTTTCATCTCCAGCTCAGCTGGGTAGCATGATTAGCGGCCAGTAGTGAATGGGTGTGGGATGTGGGGATGTGGGGATGTGGGGATGTGCGGATGTGCGGATGTGGGGGTGTGCGCATGTGTGCGTGTGCTCATGTGTGCATGTTTGCATGTGCGCATGTGTGCATGTGTGCATGGATGCGTCTGCACATGTGTGCATGTGTGAATGTGCGAATGTGGGTGTGTGGATGTGCGGATCTGTGGATGTGTGGATGTGCGGATGTGCATGTGTCCTTGAGGTGTTGCTGCTGGTGCCGGTGTGTGTGATGATGGCGTGATTTGAGCATCACCACCGTAGAAGATTCGCATTCAAGCAGGCACCACGTGGCGAAGAACTATGCAGGAACACGGTATGGTACATGTAGTTATGCAATGGACACACACAGCACAGCTTGTGCTAGTGGATTTAGGTGCGCCGCGCCTTCAGTGTTAATCTGCTGCGGCCACTGTGGTCCCATTCAGGCCTAGTGTCACTTCTAGGCTACATTAATAGGTATCAGGCATTAAGGTGGTGCCAGGAATACCAGTAGAGTGTCATCAGGTCTGTTCTGTGGCACAGCTAGTGCTGCAGCAGAGAGTATACAGGTTTGCGTGTGGTGCTGTTATAGAGGGGTCAGTCGGTTGGCTCGGCTCCAGTCTAGGGCTTTTAGACCACCTTAGAATGCACAGCATCAAGCTTTAGATTTGTATGGATTTACTATATTATTTTTGTCATGCAATGCAAGCTGCTGCTCTGAGCCTGTACCATACCGTGTGTTCCCCTTTCCTTGCTCAGATGTTCAGCAGCTCTTCTAGCAAGCCCAACTACCCATATTTAACATGGAACAAGATAGTTCTACTACACTGTAACAACTGTGTTTGTAGAAGAATTGTTGGAACTTGGAACTATGGTGGCACTGATACGCTGCAACTTTTAGTCTATAGACTCCAGTCCGCTGATCTACATGCTCCATCATGGCCCCTAGCAGCACGTGAAGGGGAGCAGAGCAGACATGAAGGTGTGTGTATGCTAGGTGTACAGCAGAGCCCAACACAAAAAACCGAGCAGCATTGCACCAAAACAGGCATCCTGCAGCACTTTGAAGGCACTGTCGCCTTGCCTTGCCTCACACTGTTTACAGTCAGTTGGTGTGCTTCAATGCCTCCTGGAGCATGTCACGAGAGGTAGAACTGGAGAGGTGCCTTGGTAGGGTATCGAGCAGAGCAGCGAACTACACATGGTGGAACTGCATTCAGTTCAGCTGCTGAGTTTCAGCACCTTGCAGCACCTTGCAGCACCTTGCAGCACCTTGCAGGCAATGCTGCCTTGCATCGCTACAGTCAGTTGACGTGCTTCAACGCCTCTAGCAGCACTTCTAAAGGGGCAGACGTGAACAAGGTGGCAGGGTAGACAGCGGAGCCCCATGCAGGGTGCAGCAGCACCTTGCAGCAGCCGGCATCAACCCAAACCACTAATCAGCTGATGTCTTTCAACGCCTCTAGAAGCACTTCTAGTGGTGCATTCGTGAACAGGGTGGCAGGGTAGACAGCAGAGCCCCATTGGGGGTGCAGCAGCACCTTGCAGCAGCCGGCGTTGGCCACGGGGTATCCCAGCAGCGTCTGTGCTGCTTCCACCTCCCCGTAATACGTCTGACTGTTGCGATTCACCATCTGGTTTGGGAATGATGGGGTGTTGGGGGGGAAAGGAGGGATCGAGAGGTGGGACTAGCAGCCGGCGTTGGCCACGGGGTATCCCAGCAGCGTCTGTGCTGCCTCCACCTCCCCGTAGTATGTCTGACTGTTGCGATTCACCATCTGGTAGGAAAGGAGAAGTGGGGGAGAGGGGGGGGGGAGTGTGGGGGGGAGTGGTGCAGTGGGGATGGAAGGGTGAGAGGGAGGGGGTGGGAGGAGGGACAGCAGCACCTTGCAGCACCCCGTGTTGGCCACGGGATACCCCAACAGCGTCTGTGCTGCTTCCACCTCCCCGTAGTATGTTTGACTGTTGCGATTCACCATCTGGTTTGGAGGGGAGAAGGGGAGGGGATGGAGGGGTGAGATGAGAGGAAGGAAGGGGATTCTAGCGCCATGTCTGTGCTGCCTCTGCCTCCCCGTAGCACGTGTGGGAGAGGGGTGTAGGAGAGCGGGGAGAGGGGGGAGAGGGGGGAGAGGGGGGAGAGGGGAGGGGGGTGAGATGAAAGGAAGGGGATTCTAGCGCCATGTCTGTGCTGCCTCTGCCTCCCCGGAGCGGGGAGGTGAACATATTGGCCTTGTGTAGTGCGTAGGTCACCTCTACCTCCCTGTAGCACGTGTGGCTGAGGCAGTTCACCATGTGATGTGGAGGGTAGAGGGGAGGGGGAAGAAAGGGGGATTCTGGGGCCATGTCTGTGCTGCTGCAGTTTACCATGTGATGTTGGGGAAGGAATGTTAATCGTGTGGTTGGAAGGGGATGTGACTGCTTGCATGGGTCAGTGCAGTCAACACAGTCAGTGCAGTCAACACAGTCAGTGCAGTCAACACAGTCAGTGCAGTCAACACAGTCAGTGCAGTCAACACAGTCAGTGCAGTTGCGGTCAACTCAGTCAATGCAGTCAAGGAGGCTGTTGTGAGACGTCTCAAAGCAGTCAACGGCGCACATACAGGGAGGCCGGAGCAGGGGTCGATGTAGTCAATGCAGTCAATGCGGTCAATGTGGCCACGGGGGACACACAGGGGAGGCTGAGAAATGAACGTACAGGGAGGCCGGAGCAGGGGTCGATGTAGTCAGCGAAGTGGCCCTGCTGTGAGAGGCGCTCTACGAGACCCGACGCAAATGCTGCGAACTGGAGAAAGGGGCGGGGGGCGGATGGGCGGGCGGATGGGCGGGCAGAGGGGCAGGCAGAGGATGGAGCAGAGGGATGAGATGGGTGAAGAAGGGACATTGGCGCAGGGAGGAGAGAGAGGATGCGTGTGGGGTTGTGCTCGAAGTGGCCGTGCTACGAGAGGCGCTACACGAGGCCCGAGGCAAACGCTGCAAACTGCAGTTGAGGGGGGCAGATGGACAGGCAGATTAGTGAGAAGACGGGAGCAGAGGCAGGATGCGTGGAGGTTTGCCTTTGAAGTGGCCCTGCTGGGAGAGGCGCTCCACGAGAGCCGAGTGGGCAGAGAGGTGGACAGAGGGGCGCGCACAAGCGCAGGCAGGTGGACAGAGAATCACGGGGATATGAGAATCACGGGGATATGAGAATCACAGGGATATATGGGTTGCTGGACGATCGCAGGGGGTATGAGAAGGCAAGATTGCTAGGGCAATAGGGAAATGGCGACTCAATGGTACACGCCAAGCATGTGAAGTGAACTTGCCAAAAGAACACTCCATACTCGGTATGATCACCGTCTCCTTGCACAGGGTACGAAACACTGCTTATTCTTTGTACACTCAAGCAGGCGGACATTCTCCCTCTCAACCTCCTCGCCAACCTCCTCGCCTGTGCTCACCAGATCCACGTGCACCATCCCACCCCCATCCCCAACCCCACCCGCATCTGCACCCACGCCCGCACTATCGCACTGCATACTCGTTACAATCACCGTCTCCAGCAGGCGGCCCTCTTCCCTCTCAATCAACCTCCTCTACCATGCTCACCACATCCACGCGCGCAACCCCTCCCACCCCCATCCCCAACCCCAACCGCACCCGCACCCGCACCCGCACCCCCACCCGCACCCCCACCCGCCCGCACCCGCACCCACGTTATTACCGTCTCAAGCAGGGGGCCCTTCTCCTTCTCAGCCTCCTCGCCCGTGCTCACCAGATCCACGCATGCACCCCCTCCCACCCCCATCCCCAACCCCACCCGCACCCGCACTCACACACCCACACCTGCAACCGCACTCCACACCGCGCCCACGTTATTACCGTTTCCAATAAGCGGTCCTTCTCCCTCTCAACCTCCTCGCCCGTGTTCACCAGATCCACGCGCGCCCTCTGCTGCGTGGGCACAATCAAAAGTTTCGACACGTCCTGCCCGGGAAACAGGGACTCCATGTCCTGCTTGTACTGCCGCGGGCAGCCTGAAGAGAAAAAACAGGCAGAGAGAGAGGGATGCAGGGAAGGAGTCCGGACGCATGGAGCGTGGCACGAGGATGTATGTGGTATGGGAGGGTGGTGAGATTTGGGGGAGGTAGGAAACGAAGGGAATAAAGGGAAGGAAGGGAAGGAGCAAGTGCCAAGGTAATGGTGTGGCATGGTGTTGTGTGGGTATGGGATGCAGTGGAGGATGGTCGCATGGATGGTCGCATGGATGGTCGCATGGATGGTCGCATGGATGGTCGCATGGATGGTTGCATGAATGGTCGCATGGATGGTTGCATGGATGCAAATGTAAACAGCAGCATGAGCGAACTGTTGAGCGCAGAGTTGCAAACAAACGGCCTGGCCTGCTGGCATCAGGGCCGTGCTGCTGCGTTCAGTGTTGCTGCTGACTCTCCAACCTGATTCAATGGCCGCAACCAGCAAGCTCCAGCCGCGGGGTGACGACAAAAGAGTTCGAAGACGTCAATTCACGGCCAGCAGGCTCCAGCTGAGTAACGACAACAGAGTTACTCAACTGTGAACGGAGTATTCTAGGCCGGTAGACGTCCGCAGCACGTCCGTCAGCGCGTACTTCCGTCTAAACTGACGGTCGGCAGGCTTCGCCGTCCCGTCATCGCCGACGGCCGTCATCTCTGCCGGCAGCCGGCAATTGAGGCGCTAACCACGTCAGCAGGGGTGCTGGTAGCGGCACTGGAAAGGCTAACGTCGTTTGGCCCCGCCGGTAACTCGTGACGGCGACGGCTGGGGGATGCGAGAAGCGACTCGAACTCGGGGAAAGGGAGAGGCGCAGACGGAAAGCAGCGGGAGCGGAAGGGGCCGCGAATGAAGCGCGCGGCTAGATCGGCTGGGGACTGGGAGGGAGAGGAAGGCAGGCTAGTCGATGGAGGTCGGTTGGGCCGCTTATAACGGGGCGATCCGTCCCGTGTTATGCCGCTTATAACGAGGCAATCCGTCCCACGCGTGGTATGCCGCTTACAATGGGTGCAACACAGCGGTTTTGACCATGGAGATGCTTGGTTGCGGACGAAGATGGCAAGAGGTACACCTCGGTTTCGAGGGTGTTTTACGGCTTTCTGTGGGCTTCAGCAAGTTGCAATGGGGTGAGGAGAGTCTGCGTTGTGCAGTTATCTGCCCGAAGAATCCTGGAACATGGATACCCGTTACTGATAGCTGCGAAGCGAATGTATGGGAGCACTTTGCTGCCTTGTGCTCATATATATTCATTTTACCAGGCATGTAGTACCACCTTGCAACTGCACAAACACAACATTGCTGTATCTCCACAACTTCTGCAATAATAGAAACTATATCTGGCATCCTTTACAGGCAGCATATTGCTAAGAACACGTACCGAAGCTAGCTAGTGAGATAACCAAAACATGTGAGGTAAAGAAATGTCTCAATGAAATTGAATGCATCAGCTAGCTAGAAATAGAAACAAGCTCTTCAACACCAGGGCATCAGGCTGTGTGTGTAGGGTGCGGTGCGAGAAAGAAACCATATCACGCTGGTAAGGCAGATGATAGGCAGGTTGCGCATATGATACCAGGCTAGTGCAGCATAAGGGGTGAGCTTGTAAGGAGAAAAATCATTGTCATGGTGCAGCGGCTGGTGGGCTTTGAATGAAGCGAGGCTGAAGCGACTTGAAGGAACAGGGGCAAGTGGAAGTTGAAGGAAGTGGGGATACTGTTGAGAATTGACAGAGGAGCGGGCTGTTGAGGTTGAGCATCCGGTATGATGCTAAGATTCCACAGCAAGAGAGGCACATCATCCTTTGATATGGAGAGCATGTGCTGTGCTCCAGGCAAAGAACGAGCCGCGTGGAAGGGGGGCTAGCGGGAGGTTGAACGAGGAGAGGCTCGTGCTCCCCGCCAGGCTTGCGAGTGGGTATGAAGGAGGGGCTATCGAGCATTGAAGGAGGAGAGGCTTTTGAACTTGAGCATGTGCTCCCAGGGCACCACGAGCACGGGGCACGTGCAGTTGTGTAGCAGGTAGTCGCTCACACTGCCCTTCACGGCTCTGCGAGGTGGGCGCGGGGAGTCGTGGGGGGATAGGGTGGGAGGAGAGAGGAAGAGGAGTGAGAACGAAAGGGGCACGTGCAGTTGTGTAGCAGGTAGTCGCTCACACTGCCCTTCACGGCTCTGCGAGGTGGGCGCGGGGAGTCGTGGGGGGATAGGGTGGGAGGAGAGAGGAAGAGGAGTGAGAACGAAAGGGGCACGTGTAGTTGTGTAGCAGGTAGTCGCTCACACTGCCCTTCACGGCTCTGCGAGGTGGGCGCGGGGAGTCGTGGGGGGATAGGGTGGGAGGAGAGAGGAAGAGGAGTGAGAACGAAAGGGGCACGTGTAGTTGTGTAGCAGGTAGTCGCTCACACTGCCCTTCATGGCTCTGCGAGGTGGGCGCGGGGAGTCGTGGGGGGATAGGGTGGGAGGAGAGAGGAAGAGGAGTGAGAACGAAAGGGGCACGTGTAGTTGTGTAGCAGGTAGTCGCTCACACTGCCCTTCACGGCTCTGCGAGGTGGGCGCGGGGAGTCGTGGGGGGATAGGGTGGGAGGAGAGAGGAAGAGGAGTGAGAACGAAAGGGGCACGTGTAGTTGTGTAGCAGGTAGTCGCTCACACTGCCCTTCACGGCTCTGCGAGGTGGGCGCGGGGAGTCGTGGGGGGATAGGGTGGGAGGAGAGAGGAAGAGGAGTGAGAACGAAAGGGGCACGTGTAGTTGTGTAGCAGGTAGTCGCTCACACTGCCCTTCACGGCCCTGTGGGTGAGAGGATGAGGGATTTAGCGGGGGGATGGCGTGGGAGGAGAGGGGGGGAGGAAAGAAGACGTCAGTTGTGCAGCAGGTAGTCGCTCACACTGCCCTTTATGGCCGTGCGGGTCGGCCGGGGAGGAGTGGGGGGATGAGAGGGAAGAGGAGTGGGGGGGAAGGTGGGAGGGGAGGGGATGGATGGCAAGGGGAGAGAAAGAGAAAAGAAGAGACATCAGAGGCATTGCATTTGCATCTGCATCTGCATCTGCATCTGCATCTGCATCTGCACTTTCATTTGCATCTGCCTGCCTAATGATGTTATACGAGCAGCAGCTCTGAGCTCTATAGAGTGCCACCTGTTGAAGTCATCACCGCTCACCTGCCACCAGCATTCACCCACCTGGCAACAGCGCTGAGTTGTTGTGTGCCCACCACGAGCAGCTCTATGTCCTGCCGCACCACCGCCTCGCATACTAACACAACAGCCACAACACCACTCACCAGCCCATAGTGCCCACCTGCCACCAGCATTCCCTCACCTGGCAACAGCACTGAGCTGTCTCGTGCCCACCACCAGCAGCTCTATGTCCTGCCGCACCACCGCCTCGCATACTAACACAACAGCCACAACACCACTCACCAGCCCATAGTGCCCACCTGCCACCAGCATTCCCTCACCTGGCAACAGCACTGAGCTGTCTCGTGCCCACCACCAGCAGCTCTATGTCCTGCCGCACCACCACCTCACACATCAACACAACAACACCCACATCACCGTCCCCTCACCTGCCTTCCACTCGCACCCACCTGGCAACAGCGCTGAGCTGTCTCGTGCCCACCACCAGCAGCTCTATGTCCTGCCGCACCACCACCTCACACATCAACACAACAACACCCACATCACCGTCCCCCCACCTGCTTTCCACTCGCACCCACCTGGCAACAGCGCTGAGCTGTCTCGTGCCCACCACCAGCAGCTCTATGTCCTGCCGCACCACCACCTCACACATCAACACAACAACACCCACATCACCGTCCCCCCACCTGCCTTCCACTCGCACCCACCTGGCAACAGCGCTGAGCTGTCTCGTGCCCACCACCAGCAGCTCTATGTCCTGCCGCACCACCACCTCACACATCAACACAACAACACCCACATCACCGTCCCCCCACCTGCCTTCCACTCGCACCCACCTGGCAACAGCGCTGAGCTGTCTCGTGCCCACCACCAGCAGCTCTATGTCCTGCCGCACCACCACCTCACACATCAACACAACAACACCCACATCACCGTCCCCCCACCTGCCTTCCACTCGCACCCACCTGGCAACAGCGCTGAGCTGTCTCGTGCCCACCACCAGCAGCTCTATGTCCTGCCGCACCACCACCTCACACATCAACACAACAACACCCACATCACCGTCCCCCCACCTGCCTTCCACTCGCACCCACCTGGCAACAGCGCTGAGCTGTCTCGTGCCCACAACCAGCAGCTCTATGTCCTGCCGCACCACCGCCTCGCATATCAACAGAAGTGAGAGCACACACATTACCACCCATCTGCCACCAGCATTCATTGACTCACCTGCCACCAGCATTCATTGACTCACCTGCCACCAGCATTCATTGACTCACCTGCCACCAGCATTCATTGACTCACCTGCCACCAGCATTCATTGACTCACCTGCCACCAGCATTCATTGACTCACCTGCCACCAGCATTCATTGACTCACCTGCCACCAGCATTCATTGACTCACCTGCCACCAGCATTCATTGACTCACCTGCCACCAGCATTCATTGACTCACCTGCCACCAGCATTCATTGACTCACCTGCCACCAGCATTCATTGACTCACCTGCCACCAGCATTCATTGACTCACCTGCCACCAGCATTCATTGACTCACCTGCCACCAGCATTCATTGACTCACCTGCCACCAGCATTCATTGACTCACCTGCCACCAGCATTCATTGACTCACCTGCCACCAGCATTCATTGACTCACCTGCCACCAGCATTCATTGACTCACCTGCCACCAGCATTCATTGACTCACCTGCCACCAGCATTCATTGACTCACCTGCCACCAGCATTCATTGACTCACCTGCCACCAGCATTCATTGACTCACCTGCCACCAGCATTCATTGACTCACCTGCCACCAGCATTCATTGACTCACCTGCCACCAGCATTCATTGACTCACCTGCCACCAGCATTCATTGACTCACCTGCCACCAGCATTCATTGACTCACCTGCCACCAGCATTCATTGACTCACCTGCCACCAGCATTCATTGACTCACCTGCCACCAGCATTCATTGACTCACCTGCCACCAGCATTCATTGACTCACCTGCCACCAGCATTCATTGACTCACCTGCCACCAGCATTCATTGACTCACCTGCCACCAGCATTCATTGACTCACCTGCCACCAGCATTCATTGACTCACCTGCCACCAGCATTCATTGACTCACCTGCCACCAGCATTCATTGACTCACCTGGCAACAGCGCTGAGCTGTCTCGTGCCCACCACGAGCAGCTCTATGTCCTGCCGCACCACCGCCTCGCATATCTCCTGCCGCCGGTCACTGGCCTTGCGCGACACGCCGTGGCAGGTCACCTGGTGATATGGCAGAGCAAGCAGAACGTAATGATACAAGTTGTTGATTGTGTTGTGTGTGGTTTGTTGCTTTGTAGAGGTGACACACACACCAGTGGTGGACTGTGGTCTTGCATGACACGCCACGGCAGGTCACCTGGCGGTGTGGCGGAGTGAGGAGTGCAATAGAATCAGCATTTACATGGTGGGCAGATGCGGTGTGCATGTGCATTTACATGGTAGCTTTGCAAGACACGGCAGGGCAACTTTTGAGATGCCTTAAGAGTCAAGACACGCATAGCATGCGGTGGCTTAACACGACTCAACCCACCCCACTAGAGACATTCACCCCCGCCCACCACACTCACCCCTCCAACCACACACACTTCTCCAACCACACTCACCCCGCCCACCACACTCACCCCATCCACCATACTCACCCCCTTGCCATGCGCCAGCTTGCAATAGCGGTAAGCAGCCCGCAACAACACACACCCCGCACACCACCCTCACCTCACCCCCAACCAAGTGACACTCACCCCCTTGCCATGAGCCAGCTTGCGATAGCGGTGCAGCAGTGCGTCTACCCGCGCATCAATCGCTGCCTGCACCTCACCACCTGCTGCTGCTGCTGCTGCTGCTTCCCGCCCCCCCCTGCTGAGCCTCCGCCTTCCATGCTGCCACTGCCAGGGCCCATGGTTGGGATGGGATGGGATGGGATGGGATGGGATGGGATGGGGTGGGATGGGATGGGATGGGATGGGATGGGATGGGATGGGATGGGATGGGATGGGATGGGATGGGATGGGATGGGATGGGATGGGATGGGATGGGATGGGACGGGATGGAGCGTCAAGGGAGGGGCGGTGAAGAACAGAGATGGTTGATGCCACTACTACCCACGTGTGGCGTCACGAGCAGAGAAATGTGAAAGGCTGGCAGAAAGTTTACAGACGTGGCATGGCATGGCATGGCATGGCATGGCATGGCGTGGCATGGCATGGCATGGGAATAGCATGCCATGGCATAGCATGGCATGGTGTGGCATGGCATGGCATGGCATGGCATGTCATGGCATGGCATGGCATGGCATGGCATGGCATGGCATGGCATGGCATGGTGTGGCATGGCATGGCATGGCATGGCATGGCATGGCATGGCATGGCATGGCATGGCATGGCGTGGCATGGCATGGCATGGCGTGGCGTGGCATGGCATGGCGTGGCATGGCGTGGCGTGGCATGGCATGGCATGGCATGGCATGGCATGGCGTGGCATGGCATGGCATGGCGTGGCGTGGCATGGCGTGGCGTGGCATGGCATGGCACAGCATGGCATGGCATGGCATGGCATGGTATGGCATGCCATGCCATGGCATTGCATGGCATGGCACGGGTAAGTGAATGGGGCAACATACGAGTGCGCGGGTCCAGCACATGCAGCACATAGATGTTGTCGCTGCGCCTCAGGAGGGTGGTTCACACATGGTATGGCATGGCATTGCACGGCATCGCATGGGTTGATATGGCATGGCATTGAACATGGTAGGGTTACTCACATGTGCGCGGGTCCAGCGCATGCAGCACGTAGATGTTGTCGCTGCGCCTCAGCAGCGATAGCCCATGGAGCAAGCAAGCACAACTCAGCACAACCCAGCACAACCCAGCACAACCCAGCACAACCCAACTCACATGTGCGCGGGTCCAGCACATGAAGCACATAGATGTTGTCGCTGCGCCTCAGCAGCGTGAGCGCGTAGCGGAAGGCCTGCGGGGGACGCCCGTCCGCGCATGCACGCAGGGGCGAAGGGGAGGGGAGGGGGGAGGGGGGGGGAAGGCGCGGGGGAAGGGTGGGGGGAAGTGAGGAGAGGTGTATAGAGGTAGACGAGAAGGTCGAACGTGGCAAAGCGGCACTGCGAGGAACGAGAGGCGCTGGTTGAGTGTGAGAGGGGGGGAGATGAGGGCAGAACGGGTGCTGATGAGGAGGGGGTGGGGGAGGAGGACGGGGAGGGGAGGGGGAGGGGGAGAAGAGAGTGGGGGGAGAGGAGAGAAGGGATAACGGGGGGAGGAAACGGGGGAAGGGGAGAAAATAGGGGGAAGAGGGGGGAGAAGGGAGGGGGAAAGAAGGGTAAAGGCGAAGAAGCGGCGGCGGCACGCGCGGCACTCACGGCCCCGGCGCCTTTTGAGACGTGAAATAAGTGTGTTTTTGAGATGTCTCAAAAATTTCACAAGTCACTCACGGCCTCGGCGCCGTCCGATTCGTCGACGGCCACGAGGATTCGCGGCGAGCCCCCCGGCCTCGGCGTGGGCGGCGCGGGCGTCGGGTCGCCTTCCATCCGTGGCGGCGCGAGATAGTCACACTGACTGTCGCGACAAACGGCGAGCGAGCTGATTGGCTGGCGCTATCTGGCGACGAGCTTGCTGCAGCTTCTGGTCGCTTCCATGGACGGGTAGTGGCGCGAGACGCAGTAATGCAGTTGATCGTACAGTGGTGAACAAAAATAAATCTATAATAACATTTTAACGTTGAAAGTGTGTAGTGCGATGAACCTAGTAGCTAGTGATATTGTGAAGTGGCTGCACTCTTAGCGGCCTAATTATTGTCTGGTGACGACTCACTACCAAGCAACTAGCATAGCGACGAAAGAGTAGCCAGATCCAGTTAAAAAAGTAGGCGTGATCGTGCAAGCTTACACGACTCCGTCGCTACGTCGAGTCATGAAACCCCTGTGTATCGAGTGACGAAGAACCCTAGAAACCAATGGCGGTATCAGGGACGCAAAGGCCAGGCATCACGTCGTGCCAAGAGAGGAAGGAAGGGAAAGCTAGTGCAAAAAGTTGGACGGGATTGGCCATGGCGGGAAAGCAAAGACGGAAAAGGTCGGCTGTTCGCGTGGTGAGTCGTCAGTAGCAGACGGCGGTCAAGGTAATCCCAAGGTTGGTTTGGCACTCAAGCGAGAGGTTTCGTGAGCGACATGCGAGCTTTAATTTGACTATTTTTGGTTGGGTTCAAAGAGTTTAGGATGGGTTCCCGTGCTGAAGACTTGACTCGCTATTAATGGGGCCATTGTGATGGAGGTTTATAGTGAACATCAGTTCAAACTGCTTCTGCATTATAAGACATGTTGTGCTGATTCAGGAGAAAAACAACAATTGAATAAAAAAAAAAAAAAACGAATTTGCATGAAACATAAAGGATACAGAGGCCCTGTAATAGATACAGTGATTCTCACATAATTTAGGAATGCACATTCAGCAAATAATGAAGATCACGATGACATACGATAAGCGTGAATGTATTATAAGGAGAGGGAATGGATATGGAGAGTGGAACGAAAGGGGCAATGGGAGGAAAGAGAGAGGAAACAGAAAAGCAAAAGGTTTGGGGGTTTTGGGGGGGAAGGGGGGGGGAGGGTATGTTGGAGTGGGGGAGTGGGGGAGGCAGGGGCTGTACAATGGTTAAAGTAGAGGGAAAATAAAAGAGGAAAACATTACAGGAAAACAAATAATGACAAGCGTTGGCACAACCACCCTCACTCTAGTATGTACATAACCAATCAATTCACTCCCGAAGCGTCACCCTGCAGCACCCCCAACCCCACCCTCACCTGCAGACCTGCTCCGCAGCTACCCCCACAAACACCACAAGGTTTCCCAACGGCCCTTCCACCTCGGGAACCCGCAGCAAGTCAAGCGAGTCAACCACCACCACCACCTCCCCTCCCCCGTCGGCTTGGCATGACCCATCCTCCTTTACACTATGTACAGAACCAACCACCTCACTCCCATCCCATGCAGTCAACACCCTGTACCCTCCATCCACCCTACATCACATGCAAACCTGATCAGCAGCCACCCCCACAAACACCGCCAGGTTCACCAACGGCCCCTCCACCTCGGGTGCTCACAGCAAGTCAAGCGAGTCAACCATCCCCCTTCACACTATGTACAAACCATCCACTTCACTCCCATCCCATACTATCAACCCGCTGTGCTCTCCACCCTCAACATCACGTGCAAACCTGCTCCGCAGCTACCCCCACAAGCACCTCAAGGTTCACCAGCGACCCTTCCACCTCGGGAACTCTCAGCAAGTCAAGCGAGTCAACCACCACCACCACCCCCCCTCCCCCCCTCGACTTGGCATGACACATCCACCTTCACGCTATGTGCAAGACTAACCTTTTCACTCCCATCCCATACTGCAACCTCAAGTCAAGCGAGTCAACCACCACCACCACCCCCCCTCCCCCCCTCGACTTGGCATGACACATCCACCTTCACGCTATGTGCAAGACTAACCTTTTCACTCCCATCCCATACTGCAACCTCAAGTCAAGCGAGTCAACCACCACCACCACCTCCCCTCCCCCCCTCGACTTGGCATGACACATCCACCTTCACGCTATGTGCAAGACTAACCTTTTCACTCCCATCCCATACTGCAACCTCAAGTCAAGCGAGTCAACCACCACCACCACCTCCCCTCCCTCCCTCGACTTGGCATGACACATCCACCTTCACGCTATGTGCAAGACTAACCTTTTCACTCCCATCCCATACTGCAACCTCAAGTCAAGCGAGTCAACCACCACCACCACCTCCCCTCCCCCGTCGGCTTGGCATGACCCATCCTCCTTTACACTATGTACAGAACCAACCACCTCACTCCCATCCCATGCAGTCAACCCCCTGTACCCTCCATCCACCCTACATCACATGCAAACCTGCTCCGCAGCCACCCCCACAAACACCGCAAGGTTCACCAACGGCCCCTCTACCTCGGGAACTCTCAGCAAGTCAAGCGAGTCAACCACCGCCACCTCCCCTCCCCCCTCCGCACTCCTCCTCAGAGCCGCCCGGATCCTCCCCCTCCCCACCTCTACTCCCGCCGGCACAGCCACACTCGCGAACGCCAGCCCTTGGATCGTCACTTGCAGCAGATGGATCTGACGGCTGCGATTAAACCCCGACTTCACCACCCGAATGCCGTGACGAGGCTTGACGCCCGGCACCAGATACACCCCCTTCAGCTCCCCCTTGGGCACACTGTCTCTCTCCCAGAGAGAAATCAAATCTGCAACTAGAGATTCGATCTCAGGGGAGGGCTGAAGACCCATGCCCTCTCGGGCCATTTGCCTGGCAGGCACCACCCTCCAGTGCTGCGCCTTGTTCTTCTCATCGCATCCCACCGCTTCCAACCGCTCCCAATAGTAATGATCCAGCACCATACCCATTTTCTTGTTCTTCAGTACAACGTACACGCCTCCCTCTATATCTCTCAGCTGCCATTTGTGAAACTCGTTATTAAAATCATTATCATAAGCACCGATTCGCCGCCCGCTGTAATGATCCAGGACCAGCCCGCTCGCGCGATTCTGTAGCACGTGGTAACCCTTTTCCGTCTTCACTGCGCGCCACTGCTGCTCCAAGGCACCCCACTCGTAATCCACAGCCTCAACGCTCTCCTCACACACAGCCAGCGCCTTCCCACTGTCCCGGTTGAACACATAGCTCCACAGCCGGTCAACTACGAGTGCAAGGCTTGCAGACCCCTCACCACCACCCTGCACCGCTTTGCACCACTTGTCACCGCTCTCGTCCTCCTCCTGCTCCCAGTGCGCCTTCCCACCAGTGCTCCCTGCAGGGGTGATGGTCCAGTGGTGGTGGTACTGTAGCTCATCCTCGCTATAAGCCTGAATGCTTATCCCGAAGAAATGATCCAGAACCTTCCCGTTGCCCCGGTTCTTAACCGCCCAGAACCCTCCGCACGCGCCTCTCAGCTCCCATTGGCTGTGCTGCCCTGCCACGTGGCAGTCACTAGCTGCCACGTGGCTGCCCCACCAAGAATGCCTCAAAACGAACCCAGACGCGCGGTTCTGGAGGAAAAAGTAGGAGACTGCAGGTGCGGATGCCACACTGCCCACACTCACAGCGCGCCACTGCTGCTGCAGGCTGCTGTCTTCAAACTCCCTCGCCTCAACACTGCCGCTCGCTTGCGCCGCAAGAGCCATGCCGGTAACCCTGTTACGGAGGTGGCTCCAGGGGAGCAGCACGGGAAGGGCAGTGGTGGAGTACCGCTCCCTTTCGATTTCCTTTTCCAACTCCCTCTCTGTGAAACTGAACTGGGGTTTCGGCATCAACCGTGGTTGCTGGGACGGAACTGAGTCCGGTGATGGCCATGATGCGGGTTCGGGTTCAGTAGGTGTTGTCGGTGTGGCACGTGTTGAGTCATCTGGAAACGAGGCAGGCAGCGAGGCAGCCGGTGAGAGTGGCAGCAAGGGTGGCAGGGATGCGGATTTACCACGTGCAAGCACCGGCGTGGATTTTTTAGGAGCTTGGCTGTCAAGAAGCATCGGCTTGGATTTCCAAGGCGCTTCGAAGTGCTCCGGTGGGGATCTTTTGGGCACTGGAAGAAGCCTAGGCGAGGATCCCGCCACGTCATCCGCTTTTGCCTTGGCCACGTCAGCAAGATCATCCACGCGGATGGCGGCCCACTGGCAGCACGTGCTCGCCTGCACCGCCCCCAAGCTCCCTCGCACCTCCGCCCCGCACGTGTTCTCGAGAAACGCCCCCCCCAGGCGGCTCTGCAGAGTGAAGATCTCCAAACCATTGATTTCCGCCAGTAGCCACTGATTGCCCTTGCTTGTCACGTCGTTGTCCTTCGCCTGTGCCTCTTCCATTAGCACTGCTGCTGCCAGCGACGCAGCCGCGTTATGGTATGATTCGGTTCCACTCGTAGCACTGCTAGTGGCGAGCAGAGAGGAGCGTTGAGGCGCAGCAACCTGAATTGTGTTTACGGTGGTGAGGAGTACCCCGAGGCGCGATTCTGCAGGCACGTGTAGCCCTCTGACACGGCAACCCGCCGCCAATGCTGGGTGACGTCACCAGGGATCAGCGAGTCTACTGCTTTGACGGAGTTGGACGGAACAGAATTGGTACTGGTGGGATTGACGGAGGAGTTGCTAGGCTTCACGGAATCCGTCAGCGGCTGCTGATGCAAGTGCTGCAGCACCCTGCCGCTCCTGCGATTCCGGATGTACTCCCAAGGTCCGACGTAGTAGACTGCTAACGGAAACACCTCCTCTATTTTCCACCAGTGATTAGGGTTCCTCTCATCCCCGTTATACGCCATCACGGTACCAAGACAGCGCGCCAGCACCATTCCCGTACAGCGGTTTCTGATAGCGACGAGGCCGTTCCCCACGTCGTAGAGCTTCCATTGGTGGTTGAAATTCGACACGTCAGCATCGGGAACGGCGATGACGTCTTCGCCTCGCCAGTGACCAATAGAATCGCCGGATTGCCGGTTCTTGATCGTGTGGTATCCGTCTCCCGCGTCGAGAAACTACCATTCCTGACTCTTGTCGCATAGATTCCCGTCGCACGGGTTCCCGTCGCACGGATTCCCGTCGCGCAGATTCTTCTCAACTTCTGTCACTTCCGTCTCCTCCGCTAGAAGAGTCTTCGCCGGAACATCCTGTTCCCTTTGGCTTGTTGCGGATTGGCTGCTGCTGCTGTCAGCGTTTTGGACATCCTCTGTTTTAGGTTTCAGAGACTCGGGCTCTCGGTCGGACGAAATAGTGACTAAATCGTCCTCCTGAGAGAGCCATGCTTTCTCGAACGCGGCCCGAATAGTGTACCACATCTCGCGACACTTTAACAGGTAATTATAGAAAAACGGGTAATTTGGGAGCAGGTATCCACGGTTCCAATTGTCCGCTTCTACGCAGTGATGCTATTTGGAGATTCAAGAGCCTTTCGGTACCGCGGTGCAAGCTGCGACAGAGGAGGCAGAGGACTCGTACTTTCAACATATTTGACGGGGACCTAAACGAGAGGCGGAGCACGGGCCGTGGCGTGACGGAGGTGGACGGAGCGGGGGAAAAGGCCGACGGGACAGACGGAGCGCTTTGGTTGGGAGAATAATTGCCATCGGCGCGGTGGGCGCTGGGCAGACAGACAGGCAACTGCTTGTTTGTCCGCTCCCTCAAATAGAGCAGACGAAGGGCTTTCAGTGCTGGGCTGGGGTTCTTGTTACAGCACTCGCCATGGCTTCGCGAGGAAAGGTCCGGACATCAGAACCGTCGATGTTGAGGGTCTTTACACTTTTCCGATACATTGAGCCGTTGATAGATGTGGTATTGATGGATAACCCAAACAGGTTTCGCCATTCGCTTACTGGTGCAGCTGTTACATTCGCAAACGGTGGTACGGGTGGTTCGGCTCTGCACGACCGGCACGGTTTGTGTGAACTTCGTCACAAAGCAGAACGATTGGCTGGACCCACGTCATTCCTTGTGGTTGCTGCTGTGTACCAAGTGACGTGGCTCGGAAAACATACTCAGACAAAACCAACTCGATAACCGATATGGTTGTCGAAATTTCGAACTATTTCGAGGCTTCAACTTCCTGAAAAACCCACAAACCTTTTCTCCTCTCCCGTCCCAAACTCGTGCGTCCGCGTCTCGCGGGAAGGTTTAGAAGGCTGTCATTAATCGGTTCAGCGGGCGATCATACCTGCAAACAGTCGCGACCGTCGCCATATTTCGTCATTGAAACACGTGGCGTTTAGTAGTACCTGCAACACGTGGCGAAATCATGGCATGGACTCTGGAGCGCATTTCACCACTTCACACGTCTCACACCTTTTCTCACTCGATACAGGGGCAACATTTAGCGCGTACATCCCCAGCGCCCTGTTCCCTCCCTCGCACCAGTCAACGGCTAGCCGTTCAATGCGGTCGGCACGCCGGTTCACTTAGACGGCCGAGTGAGTGTAGTTTCCCAACAGGGGGGGGGGGGGGAGGGGAGGGGGGGGGGGGGGGGGGGGGGGGGAGGGGGGGTCCACGCTTTTTCACTTTAGCGACGCCACAGCCGCCAATGCCGCAAATTGAGCGGAGGTGATATTCGCAAGTGCTTATCGAGTGTAGGTGATATACGTCATTCCTCCGCTGCCCCCCTACCAATCCGCTGCCGTACCAATCCGCTTCCCCCCGCCATTCCGCTTGCCCAAGCCGCTCCCCTCCTCCTACCGCTCCGCTTCCCCCGACCACCCGGCAGAGTCCACCAGGCGGAAATCGAAGCCAGCGCGTTCCGCGGATGGGCAGCGTGCGGGGAGGAGCGGCGGAGGGGGCGGGGGGGCGTCGGTGAGCGAGGAGGTGTTCTCCCTGGAGAAGGGATGGCTCGTCGACCCCGCCGCGCTCATGGGCGGAGAGGCGGGGGCCGCGGAAGGGCGGGGGAGGGCGGAAGGGCGCGGGGGAGCGGACGGCGGAAGGGCAGTGGGGGGGGGGGCGGGGGGGAATGAGGCGGCGGGAATTGCAGGGCTGGAGCCTGGGAAGACGCGCAGCACACACAAACTGCTCAAGGTGTGGGGGGGGGGGTGTGCGTAGAGGGAGGTGGGGGGGGGGGGGGGGGGGGGGGTGAGTGGAAAGGAGAAGGGGTTTTGTGGGGTCGTGGGAATGTCGGGGTGTGTGGTTGTGTGTGTATGTGTATGTGTGTTAGTGATGCCCCCCCCTCCCCCATCTCCCCGCCTTCAACCCGTCTTGCCTCTCCGCGTCTCCTGACCCTTCTGCACCCTCCCCACCTCTTCTCCTCCACCCGCCTCTCCCCATCCCCCTCCTTTCTTCCCCTCCGTTCCTTCCTTCTCCCCTCCTCCCCCCTGTCCCCCCTAGATCGTCTGAGGCGCCAACCGGGGGAGGCATCTTCTGCCACAGCGGAACGCAGGTGTGATTGATGACGGAGGGGGTGCGGACGGCCACTTCAAATTTTTAACCCAAAATCTAAAGACTAAAGCCACTGACACCAGACTTCTGTTCTCCCATTCCTACTCCCCTCTCTCCCTTCCTTGCAGCCCACCTGTCCTCGTTTGACACCCCCTCTTTCTCCATTCTTGCAAGCCTTCCCACTTGCACCATGAGTGTTCCTTCTCTCTTGATTGAAAAAGTGTTTCGAGACGTCTCAAAACACTTTCTCCGTTCTTGCAAGCCTTCCCACTTGCACCATGAGTGTTCCTTCTCTCTTGATTGAAGAAGTGTTTTGAGACGTCTCAAAACACTTTCTCCGTTCTTGCAAGCCTTCCCACTTGCACCATGAGTGTTCCTTCTCTCTTGATTGAAGAAGTGTTTCGAGACGTCTGAGAAGGAACACTCATGTCTCTTCCCCCCCCTCCCTCCCTCCCCTTTTTCTCTCCCCATTCCTTTCATCATCCGCTTGCTTCAATCTCCTTTCCCACCTCCTAGATCGTATCAGGCACCAACAGGGGGAGGCGCCTTCTGTCCCCGGCGGACCGCAACGTGCGGCCCATGATGGGGATGGTGCGCGCGGCCACTATCCTACCCCCCTTTTCTTTCCGCCACCCCACAGCTCGTATCAGGCGCCAACAGGGGTAGGCGCCTGCTCTCCCCCGCGGACCGCAACGTGCGGCCCATGATGGAGATGGTGCGCGCGGCGGTGTTCGACATGCTGCACGCGCTGCTCGCCGCGCCGCACCGCCTGCCGCCCGCCTCGCGCTGGCTGGACCTGTACAGCGGCACGGGGAGCGTTGGGTTGGAGGCCATGAGCAGGGGTTGTACGCAGGTAAGGGCTGGGCTGGGCTGGGCTGGCATGCAGATGCTCGCGCTGGCTGGACCTGTACAGCGGCACGGGGAGCGTTGGGTTGGAGGCCATGAGCAGGGGTTGTACGCAGGTAAGGGCTGGGCTGGGCTGGGCTGGCATGCAGATGCTCGCGCTGGCTGGACCTGTACAGCAGCACGGGGAGCGTTGGGTTGGAGGCCATGAGCAGAGGGTGTGTTCAGGTGAGGGGCAGGGGGGCATGGGGTCAGGGCGGCGAGGGGAGATGTGGGGGCATGAGCAGTACCTACCTGCCTTTCTAGGCAGGCAGCCTGCTCGCGCTGGCTGGACCTGTACAACGGCACTGGGAGCGTGGGGCTGGAGGCGATGAGCAGAGGGTGTGGGCAGTGAGGAGAAGTGGGCGGCATGCTACACGCGCTGGCTGCACCTGTACGTCGGCTTTGTGCTTCTGGTCACACTTTGCATCCCCACCACACCCCCACCACACCCCCACCACACCCCCACCACACCCCCACCACACCCCCACCACACCCCCACCACACCCCCACCACACCCCCACCACACCCCCACCACACCCCCACCACACCCCCACCACACCCCCACCACACCCCCACCACACCCCCACCACACCCCCACCACACCCCCACCACACCCCCACCACACCCCCACCGTCCCTTTTCTTCCCCTCCCCTCTCTCCCCGTCTCATCCGCATCGCACTTTGTCGAGATGGACCCATGGTTCGTGTGCTTCTGCTCACATCTTCCCCCCTCTGCCCCTGTCTTCCCCTCCCCTCTCCCCTTCTCAGGCGCACTTTGTGGAGATGGACCCGTGGGTCGTCTCCTCCGTGCTGTCCGCCAACATTGAAGCCTGTGCCGCCTCCTCCCTCGCCACCATCCACCCGCTCAAAGTCGAGTCCTTTCTCCGGCAAGCGGACGAACGAGGAGGTACGAGGAGGTATGGGGAGATACGGGGAGGTATGGGGAGGTACGGTATGGTATGGGGAGGTACGGGGAGGTAGGGGCCACTTTTCCTTCTCATCTGAACTCTTCTCAGCCCTCTGCCTTCTCATTGTTCTTCCCTTACTCCCTTGTGTCTCCCGCCCAACCCCTCTCACTCCTACTCGCCCTGCACTCGTTCTTTCCGCCCATCTCCCACCCTCCTACTCAACCTTTTATGACCTCCTGCACGCGCGGCGCCTCCTTCATTTCCACTCTTCTTTCTGCCTTCGCAGCTGAGTGGGTAGGAGGGAGGGAGGCCCCTGCAACTCCACTGCTCTGGTCCGCACATGCACTCGTCTCAACCTCTTTTCTTCCTTTCCTCTCTTTCTTCCCTGCCCAATCTCACCCTCGCAGCGGAGTGGGAAGGACGGCCCTTCACCTACATCACCGTGACCCCCCCCCCCATGAGCTCAACCTCAACAGCGCTCCTGCTCCAACCCTGCATGTCCTCCCGCCCACGGCCCCCCTACAAGCTCGCCGTTTACAGTCACCTCATGGCCCAGCTCGCTGCCTCCCCCACCTGTCCTTTACCACTCCCTCCCTGCTCCCCTCGCTCTCTTTCCCCCAGCCGAGTGGGTGGGAGGGCCCTTCAGCTTCATTAGCGTCACCCCCCCCTATGAGCTCATCGTGTACAGTCAACTCATGGCCCAGCTCGCTGCCTCCCCGCTGCTGCACCCAGATACATGCATGGTGCGTGTGTGGGTGCATGGTGCGTGTGTGGGTGCATGGTGCGTGTGTGGGTGCATGGTGTGTGCGTGCGTGCGTGCGTGGTGTGTGAGTATGTGTGTGGGTGGGGTTGGGATGGGGGGGGGGATACCATGGATGCATGCGCACTCATGAATGGATCCATGAGTGCGCATGCACTTAACTCATGGCCCAGCTCGCTGCCTCCCTGCTGCTGCACCAACACACATGTACGTTGCGTATGCGGGATTTCGTAGGAATCATGTATGTACCATCACTAGTGCAGCGATGGTGATGCACAAGCATAGGAGGTGAGGGAATTGAGGGGCTATGACGGTGCATACATGCATGCTGTGTGGGTGCTGTGACGGCGCATACATGCATGCTGTGTGGGTGCTGTGACGACTCATACATGCATGCTGTGTGGGTGCTGTGACGACTCATACATGCATGCTGTGTGGGTGCTGTGACGACTCATACATGCATGCTGTGTGGGTGCTGTGACGACTCATACATGCATGCTGTGTGGGTGCTGTGACGACTCATACATGCATGCTGTGTGGGTGCTGTGACGACTCATACATGCATGCTGTGTGGGTGCTGTGACGACTCATACATGCATGCTGTGTGGGTGCTGTGACGGCGCATACATGCATGCTGTGTGGGTGCTGTGACGACTCATACATGCATGCTGTGTGGGTGCTGTGACGACTCATACATGCATGCTGTGTGGGTGCTGTGACGACTCATACATGCATGCTGTGTGGGTGCTGTGACGACTCATACATGCATGCTGTGTGGGTGCTGTGACGACTCATACATGCATGCTGTGTGGGTGCTGTGACGACTCATACATGCATGCTGTGTGGGTGCTGTGACGACTCATACATGCATGCTGTGTGGGTGCTGTGACGACTCATACATGCATGCTGTGTGGGTGCTGTGACGACTCATACCATCCATGTGTGTGGGGATGCATGCATGGTGTGTGCATGCATGTTGAGTGGGTGTGTGTATGTGTGTGTGTGTTGGGGGGCAAGAGGGGGTAGGGGGTTATCATAGGTGCATGTCTGTATGCGTGCTGCCGTGTGTGTGTTCATCCTTCTCACTCTGTCCGATCCTTCTCACTCTGTCCGATCCTTCTCACTCTGTCCGCCACACACTGCTCTTCATATCTTGTACATCCTGGCAGGTGGTGGAGTATCCAATCAAATCTAGGGATGAGATCTTGGACACATGCGGTCCTCTATACAAGGTGATTGTGTCGTTCCTGCTGCATATCTTTTTTTTTTTTTTTTTTTTTTTAAACTTATCCATCTTCTACGCCTGTATTTTCTGCCATGCTAGACACTCCTCCCTCCCGTGCGGAACACGAAACGATTACCGTATTCCATGCTGTGCCGCAGATCAAGTTTTGAGACGTCTCATAAGTTCTCTTTTCCATGCTGTGCTGCAGATCAAGGATCGGAAGTATGGGCGGACCAATGTGGCCATCTATGGTCCTGCATGGGCTCTGGAAGGCGATGTGCAATGATGTCGATAAACCTTAGCTTCGTTTCGGGGCAGGCTGAAGAAGCACAGATTGGTCAGTCTCTATCTAAACTGAGAACCATGAAGTGTATAATTGCAAGGCTGCTAAAGTGTCTCTGTTTTTCCTCGCACACGGTACCCTAGTTTGAAGTGCAAAGAAACACCTGGAGCTGTTCTGGTGATAAACCTTGATTGTTTTGTGTTCATTTTGGGTAAGTCAGGCACACCACACCACACAGCGTTTCAACATAAAAAAAAAACTATGCAAAGCTAACAGCAAGCGCTATGCCCCTTTTGGCACAATCCTTTCCCACAGTGCTGTAGAAATTATATCCAGCAACCCCATTAAGTGTGAAAGACTTCTTAGCCTTGCCCGTGGCCTTGATAAACACCTTATCGACAGCCTTGGTGTCACATTTATCCATCAGGACTCGAGTTTTGGCGTTCGCCAAATTGTGCTTCGTGCCAAACACCTTATCCACGCTACTGTGTCCCCACTTGAAGACTGCAGACGGGAGAAGAGAGGTGGAGATGAGATGAGACACCGCAAGCAGACGTGCGTGTGAGAAAGATCAGTGCTCAGTAGGATTCTGTGCTGTTCCTTAGCCCTGAAGGTATGGCGATGGTGACGGATGATCGCTTATTAGAGCAGTGACAAATAGACGGGAAAGTCCAGCTGCAAGACATATGATAACATGCAGAATGAAGCCTGATCACTGTTGCGTGTTGTGGTAACACGAACGAGACACACTGTAACGCGTACCTAAAGTGTCGGTCTCTCCAATAGTCGGTACAGTCCACGACTTCATGCCAGGCCAGCCCTTCTTGCCGCCAACCAGTATCGTTGCGGCATGCTGCATGGAACGAGCGGACAGACAGACAGGATCGCATTGGTACCACGTTGCATACCATGTCCGCTCTGTGGTACGTGCAATGCTTCTAGAAAGTGAGGTACTGAGGAAGGAAAAGTGTAAACATGGCGAACAAGGGCAGCGGAAAGGTGAACAAGGGGGAACGGGGAAGGCGAAAGGGACTTGCGGCGGCACACATACCGCGACTGCTGGACGGGTTGTTCCCTGGGGGTCCAATGAACAGCCTGCACAGTAATGCAGGCGACAGCACGCAGCAGCACCGCACCACACAGCACAGAAAAGCACCACACAGCACCGCACAGCACCACACAGCACAGCACCACACAGCACAGTACATCATTGAACAGCACATCAACAAAAATCAGAAACACCGAATGCGAAGTCGATGGGTTGGACCACTTTAGTCGACCCACAGTACCATGTTTGAGAGAGAGGCCTAGAAGAGAATGCCTACACGGGGAATTTTGTGCTAAACAGCAGACGACAATTCCACAAAACTTCAACGTTTCACACGTTTAAACTACGGACATGGCGTCCGCTGCACGAGGTTAGGGTTCGTACCTACGAGAAGAAGCAGCAGCGCGATCAGCGGCAGCCGAGACATGGTTCCGCGAGAGTAGGAGAGGATGCGCCACTAGAATCAGATTGCCGAACACAGGAGGGAGTGCTTAGTGCTCTGGCGAGCTCTCGCTGAAAGCTCTCTCTGATACTGATGGGCCGAGGCCGCATATCGTTTTTATCGTATGGAGAAGGGCACGCCATCCAGTTCGAGTTCCGCGTTGCCAGACTTTCCCGCGGCAAAAGCGAGGAAGTCGTAGGTCGAGCTGGGCGCGCAGCCATTGCCCGATTTGGTATGGGCTCAAGACGTAGTCAATGGCGGTGGTTGTTCGGTTTTGAGGGTCTAGGGCGGGACCGCCATGGATGGCAGTGAGGCTTTGGTGATAAGGGCGGGGAGTGATGAGAAAAACGAACGAAGAATTTCCAACGGTGAGTACGACTGACGCACTGTGTTCTCCTAGTTTTTGCCACACTTACTGCTAGAGCATGTGAGTTGCGGCGATTCTCCACAAGGGACACCAGAAGTAATCATCCGAAAAATCACAACCCCAAATTCCTACGCAAAACATGCTTTCGGGGTTGCTTTGGGGTTGCTGTTCGGAAGGTATCTCTGGGAATGCCGGGCAACATGCTTTCTTAGGTTCGGAATGCACATCGCGCTGATTACACTCCCACGTTTCAGGAACCAACCAATTGCCACCTGTTACAGGCTTGGGCTGCGTTCTGCGGGCGCATTAGCCCGCATCAATGTACATTGTATTCTTTTTTCGATTTGCCAGGACCCTTCCTTGATAACCAGCCAAAAGGTTATCAAGGCTCGCGATAAGCGCTTGGCTGCCGAGGCAAACCAAGCGCGAATGCCTGCAGAACGGACTTTTTGGCAACCACAAAATTACATGTTGCAGCTTTCCGAGAAATTTAACGCCCTAGCAATCTGACGATCGCTTGATGCGCGCATGGTGCAACGCCGAGAAGACGCATGATGCGCGCATCAGCTCGAATTGGGCAATTGAACAGTGCATCATGGCGTGTGGGGAAGGCGTCAGGTGCGTTCTTCTTTGCTTCTAAGAACCTTCCGCACCCTCGAATTCCTCGGAAATTTGAGATCGAAATTTGACATGCCCGAAATTCGAAATTTCCAATTTCCGATTTCCCGAACCTGAATCTCCATTTGCCGAGCCTCTTTTTTTCAATTTCAAATTCCTCATTCCCGAACCTCAATTTGTCAATGTGCGGATCAGGCCGAGCCTGGGGCGCATCAGAGTAGATGCGGCCGCAGAACGCAGCCTTGGGGTGGATCGCGAGTGGGCCTCCAACATTCGTGGAACACCATTTCGATTTGTATTTTTGTCATGATTGGTTCATCTCTTCAACTGCAAACCCGTCATTGCTGCTAGTTTAGCGAATCTTTGACTCGCGTTCATATGTTGGGTGCAGCGAATAAGATAAGTAATAGCCTGCTGCAGGGTAAAAAATATTTGAGATAGTGACGAGGGTGTTGTAGTGAACACCCTATACATCTGATAAATACACTCTTTTCATTTTGTGTTGCAGAAATCGGTTATTAATAAGACTATTACGTATCATGCCTGAATAAATAAATTTGTGCTATAGATTGAATATCGTACTCGTTTCAGTAACCAGTGTAATAGCGAATCCGTAATTCATTACATGTCAAAAGTTCCACACAATTTGCTTTACATTTTAAAAGAATTCTTGCAAACATACACTTTTCGTACATTCTCAAACTACATGAAAAAAACAATGCACACATAGAAACAGTGAGTCTGTTCATAATCAACTGAGGGACCTGCACAAGGGGCCTGCACATCGAAGTTACAATATCAACTTTCCAAGCTAAAAAATAAACTATTCAGTAACAATGTCAAGGAAAATGGGTCCCTGCTGTAGATCATGGGGCCTGCACAATGAGAGAAAATGTGAATGCAGTATAAAAACTGTGAAAGTTCGAGAGAATTGTTGCACTAGGGAGAAGCGAGAGGTACAAGAAACAACCCTATACCCTCTAGTGTCTAACCCACTACAGCCTATATAATCAATGTTATATATGTTTGACACACCCCCATAGGCAAAGTGGGGAAGACCTAAAGGCCACAAGACCAGTCAAGCAAGCAAGCTCAGAGTGGATCACAACGTCACCACAAAATCTGAGCACAAGGTCAAGGCCACAAGGCCAGTTCACCAGCAGGATTATATATAAAGGCAAACAAGCAAGAGCAGGTATACAAAAAACGCAGTACAAGCAAGGTCAAGAAGTGAGCAAGTGAGGCCAAGTGGGCACAAGACCTAGCATCGTACAGAAGCGCTGATGATCACCAGGCGGAAGTGCCTTGGTGAAGATATCAGCAGTGTTGGCCCGAGTGGCCACGTAAGCAAGGCGCAGCTGACCACGCTGCTGCAGCTCACGTGCAAGGAAGTAGCGGAGAGCAATGTGCTTCGTTCTGTGCTCCAGTCTGTGCTCCCAACACAAGGCCAGCATTGCCTTGTTGTCTACGTACAGAACTGGAGGAGAACGAGGCGGCTCTCCCAGGTCAGTCAGCAGGTAGGTAAGCCAGCGTAACTCCTGTGCAGCCATGGCTCCTGCGTAGATCTCAGACTGACAGCTAGAGCTGAGAACAGACGACGAGCGGGTAGACCGCCACAAAACAGAGCCGGAACCAAGGCTGAAAGTGTAACCCTGTGACGACCGCTGAGTAGCCAGGTCGTCAACCCAAGAAGCGTCTGCGTGACCAGTGAGGACCACTGGACTCTGCCCTCCAAGCACTAGCCCCATGCCCGACGTACTGCACAAGTAGCGCAACACCCTCTTCGCTGCAGCCATGTGCTCTGGTCGGTGTCTCCCAGGAGCAACAAAGCGTGCAAGGATGCTAAGAGGGTATGCCAGGTCAGGTCGTGTGCAGGTCATCAGGTACATGAGGCAGCCAACAAGCTCTGGGTACGGGCCACTCGGCTCTACGGACTCATCCGAAGGCAGAGCTGAGAGCGAGTGGCGAGTAGACAGAGGAGTGGCCTGAGGCGAGGAGTACGTGAAGTCGAAGCGCTGAAGGACCTGCTGCACCATGTGTGACTGAGACAGTGTAATGGTGCGCCGTGCTCTGTCCCGGGTGATCTGCAAGCCAAGGTAGCTGCGCAGTTCACCCAGGTCTGTGCACGTGTGTCGCTTCTGCAGCTCGGACTTCACGTGGGCGAGTCCAGCAGTGTCAGCTGTAGCAAAGACCAAGTCGTCGACGTACACGAGGATGTAGAATGGCGGCAAAGAGGTGTCGGTGCGCAGAAACAGCGACGGGTCGGCAGTAGAAGGAGCAAACCCAAGAGCCGCAAGCGTAGTCCTCAGTGTGTCGTGCCACTCATGCGGCGCCTGGCGGAGACCGTAGACCGGCCGCCGGAGGCTCCACTGGGTGCCAGGAGGAAACGTCCCAGTGAAGCCAGGTGGGCGGCGCAGCCAGATCTCCTCGTGCAGGCTGCCCTGTAGGAAAGCTGTGCTGAAGTCAAGAGAGTGAAGCTCGTAGTCACGGTGAGCGGCTATGTGCAACAGCACCCGAAGAGTGGTCATCTTCGGGGTGGGAGAGAAGGTCTGAAAGTAGTCAACTCCCTGCCGCTGACTGAAGCCTCGAGCCACGTAACGCGCCTTGAAGACAGGCGGAGAACCCGGCGGCCGCTTCACCCTGAAGATCCACATGCCACTGACGATGTTCGCCCCAGGTGGGGGAACCTCGTCAACGTAGGTGCCTGTGGACTTCCAGGAAGCCATCTCTGCGTCCATGGCTGACTGCCACTGAGAGGAGTAGGGACCCTCTATCGCCTCCGCGTAAGAACGCGGAGTCGGGATGTCAGGAGCATCCGGGTCTCCCTCAGGGGCAAGTAGCGAGGACACAAGATGAGGTAAAGCAGCAGCAAGACACTGGAACTCCTCCTGCCTGTCCTCAAGGACGTCCGTGCTAAGAGCACACTCACCCACGACGGACGGAGGACAGACAGAATCTGCAACAAGTCTAGCGGCGAAGTCCAGACGACAGGCAGCAGCAAAGTCAACAAGCTCAGCGACCAAGGCAGACGCAGCAGTAGACTCAAACGACGGGTCAGTGACAACAGTGGCTAGGAGACGCGTGACAGTAGGGTGCTCAGTACGAAACCGGTCAGACTCAGGGTCTGGAACGACCGGCAGAGAGGACGCAGGGGGAGACGGCAGAGGAACAGGCCGCGGAGCAGAGGAAGGACGACGGACAACAAGGTGTGCGCTGGGGACAGCCGGCTGACGCGCACGAGCGACACGACGAACGGTACGACCAGAACGAACAGGCGAGACAGGACGCGACGCAGGCTCACGACGCTCAGCAGGACTGCCTGTCTGCTCAGTGTAAGGAGAGGGAGCAGGTAGCGGTGAGCCAGTCTGTAACGGAAGACCAGTAGACGACGGGAGAGTAACAACCTGACGAAGAGCAGAGTCAGGCGGCGGCAGGGACGACGGAGACGGCGGAGCGAAGAACAGTCGTGTCGGCGCAGCTGCACCAGTACCAGCAGCTCCAGCACCTCCAGCAGCTCCAGCGCCTCCAGCAGCTCCAGCAGCTCCAGCCTCAGAACCGGTACCTCCAGCGCGCAGCACCCCCAGAACCGGCACCTGCAGTCCCAGGGTCTCCAACCGCAGTGTCTCCTGCAGCAGCACCCCCAGAACCAGCACCTCCAGTCCCAGGGTCTCCAACCGCAGCGTCTCCCGCAGCAGCACCCCCAGAACCAGCACCTCCAGTCCCAGGGTCGCCAGCCTCAGTGTCTCCAGCAGCGGCACCTCCAGACGCAGCACCCCCAGCCCCAGCAGCTCCAGTACCTCCAGCAGCAGAGCCCCGGGCTCCAGCAGTGCGACGCTGACGGCGACCGTACCAGTCGTGCAGCTGCTGAGGGGTGAGAGGCACACGCGGACGAAGGCGGCCACTCCAAGTAGGCCGCGCACCAGCAGTCCCAGTACCCTCAAGTGTCTCACCCCCAGGCTCAGCACCCCCAGACTCCGCACACACAGGCTCAGTACCCCCAGACACAGCACCCCCAGGCGCAGGACCTCCAGTCTCCTCACGCGTAGGCTCAGCACCCCCAGACTCAGCACCCCCAGACTCCGCACCCCCAGACGCAGCACCTCCAGGAGCACCACCCCCAACAGCACCAGAGTCAACAGTAACCGGCTGCAGAGGCGGCGAAGAAGGTCGCGGAGGGAACCCCGGAGGGGTCTCCAAGCGTGGTGCGCGGCGGTAGGCCGCCGGGGCGTCAGCAACAGCGTCACCCCCCTCAGGTGGGCCAGAGGTGTCGGAAGTGACCTCCAAAGGCTCAGCCAAGGGGGGGGGGTCTACCTGAGACACACCTGAAGGAGCAGGACCCTGAGGGGGGAGGGGGTCTACCGGGGGGGGACCTGTCGTAAGGAAGAGCGGCCGGGGGGGGAGGGGGGCAGCGCGGTAGGGGAAGAGACGGTAGTACGGAACCGACTCGTCAAACGTGACGTCCTGGGAGGACAGAACACGGCGTGAGGTGGGGTGGTAAAACTGCCAACCAGGCGCGTCAGGGGGGAAGCCAAGGAAGACGCAGGGAACAGCACGGGAGGACAGCTTGTCCGTAGACAAGTCTCGGACAAAAGCCCGAGATCCCCAGACA